CTCCAGATTCTGTTGCACGGTCCATCTGATGCCAGAGAGTCTTTGCATCCACTTAATAATAAAATAGCTTACCACCCAGAGAGGCAGCAGCTAATCTATCAGCCTGCTTCTTTTGTCACGCACTATGTGGGCAAATTCATCTGTGTGTACCTTCTGCTCCAGTACCACCAAACTTGCCAGCTGTCACCATGTCCATGTGTTCATTCCTTCTCGTAACATGCTCACAAATACTGACTGTCTACATCTCATTTCTCTGATCAGTCTGTAGTTCTCACCTGTCTACAGAAGTACTGCCACGTTTGTAAACATGAATGTTGGTTGAAAATATCTGCATCTTGCAGGCACATAGCTCAAAACAGTTTCTGTTAATTTTTCTTTCAAGAAGATACAGAAATTTAATTAACAGATGCTCCTCATCCAGGCTTTATAATATACAGCAATTTCTTACTTTTCTGACACGACAATATATCAACCACATTTACAACTAATTATAATTTAAGCAAAAATGTACAAATACGTAGCAGGGGCACAATTAGATGTAACCTCATACAAGGTGTCAATGAATTTGTTTACACAATGTAAAAATAATACAAACTCTGTGAACAGGGCTATTACAACCAATATATAAAACATACATAAAGGAATGCTTAGATGAGCAAAACAAATTAAATACACGTAATTCTTGTATGACAATTCATTTAAGAGTAAAGCATATGAAGCATAAGACATGCATAGCACTGTTAAGGCATTTTCTTCTGCACTGGTTTTCAAGATAATAAGTAGCTCAGGGCAGGCAGTCTGAATGAGACCTGCATGTATACCTAGAAAATTACTGAGTCAAATGCAAGTACAGACTATCTGATCTTAACTAAGGTCTAGTCAACACACTAAGTCTACTGACGTTAAGCGTGACAATATAACAACATTGACTACAAACACCCTACTGCTGAAATGCAACTGAGTGTGCTTGACTATAATGAAAGCTGCATTTCCTGTCATTTACATAAACGTAGAGAATACACATCTTGTTTTCCCATTATTTTTTGCTGAGGTTCATTTAAAAAAAAAAAAGGAAATATTCTTTTCTGCATTTTGAAGAGCTAGCCCCTATAGGCGATACTGAAGACACATTTCTCTGATATACATTCATTTATTGTTGCATGTGATCAATTTTATTTGATCTCTAACATTCTGCTTGCCAGAGCACAAGCCAAGCAAATTCAGTACTGTAATATTTAGAGGGTATTTCCAATCCAGCATCTGGAGATGGCAGTGGAAACAAAACATGTGGACCCTGCCCTAAAACTGTTCTTTAGAATTTGACTGACAGTAAAAGGTAAAGGGCCCTTTTCCAGGCCTTCAGGCATATCCTGCTAGACCTATAATTTATAGATTAATTGGCACTCAGTGGGAGAAGTGGTCAGCATCACACCAGCCGTCTTTACTTCCCAGGACTATACCTGGTACCCAGGTCATTTCTGAAACAAGTCTGGCTCCATCAGGAACAGAACCCATGACCTTTGGATCCGCAGGCGAGCGTCTAGCTCAGTTGTTCTCAACCTGTGGGTCGCCACAATCGCAAAACATATTCATTGAATTTATGAAGTAGCAACGAAAATATTTGTATGGTTGTGGGGTCGCCACAACATGAGGAACTGTATTTTAAAGGGTCGCGGCATTAAGAAAGGTTGAGAGCCACTGGTCTAGCGGTGAGATCACATTTACTGACAATAATGTACCCAAAATACTCAAAGGAACAACATATGATTGTTTTTGTATTCTAAACTTGCCAACATGCAAGCTATTTGTATCCAAACCGTTCTAGATAATGTGGTGGCCTTTGGCCCTACCATTAGGTAAACAGAACAAATTAAAGTGGTCTGTGATATCATTTACACACACATACTGCTTCTTTATTCTTCTGCGTTCATCAAATGTAATTGCCTTGTGCCCATTTACATCATGGCTACGATACTTGCACCTTTTGGACGACACATCTTACTTCTGCACGCATTTGTTGACTGGGTTAGCCTTCCCTGTTAGTTTCATGGGATACTGCAGCCTCACTGCTGTGTGGTTATCTTTCTTCCTCAGGTCAAAGTTGGTGCCCCACATTAGGCTGGTCCAGAGAAGCCATGTAAAGCTGATCAGCCCTCAAGAGAAGGCAGGGACAGAGCCTTTCCTGCCATCCAAGGAGGTTTCCATAAACGCAGAACCAATACATGGTGCTCTTGTTCTGGGCTCACTCAAGGAATAGCCACATCCTGCTCTTGACTGTTTAACCTCACTTCCATATACTGAAACACACACAAACTTGACTCTTGGGGTGGGGGAGTGACTCTAATACAGATTTTCATTTTTTTTTTAAAACTATTAAAAATTACGGAGTCGGTAGAAGACTTTAAAAAAAAATAAGAGGGGGTCAGGGTTTATAGACCATTTCAAATTTTAGATGTGGTAATGTTTTAAGCTACAGAATATACTGGTAATTAATCTGTGACCGGAATAGTTATAACCTGGGAGTATAAACAAGATAAAATTTTCAGTTTCGTAAAAATACCACAGAGATAATTAGCAGGATGATGTCCCTTAGTGAACCATCAATAAAATCTGTTTAATACAAATTAAACTTGGGAGTTATAGGCAGAAGTCTGTATCTACATTGGACTGCATATTTCAACAAGTGCAATGTGGTGAAATTCAATGCTTGCTAGCACAAAACTATTGCTTAAAACTGGTTACAGCATAGAACATATTATAACACTGGTCAAAATAAGACATTGTATAGAAAAAAAGAAAAGGCAGTCAGGTTTTGCACTATGGCTGAAAATTGAAGCTTGCAGTTTTGAACAGAACATTCCCACCATTCTCCTGTCTAAATACTGGTGTTTAAGTTGTCCGATCATGTTCCTCTAGTCTTCTATTCTAAGCAACTCTAAAATTCTCCATAAGTCATTTCTTGCTTCCGTGATGGTTTTTCTTGAGTAAGTCTTCAAGTTTATTCAATAACATCTTCCTAAGGGCACAAGTTATCAACATAGAATGGGTGTGATCAGTCACTTTGCACTTTTTGAGCAAACCTATGGATCTGTCCAGAGTGCTTGATGATAGTCCTCACAAATCAGATTTATTCAGATGCAGATATAGTCATTCTAAATACACTAAAACAAACTATATATATTATATCATTTACACATACATACTGCTTCTTTATTCTTCTGCAAAAGTTAAATGCTTTCACCAAAAGCAAACAGCTACTAGACATTGGAAATCTACCACTAGCGTACAAAAGCAAAAGCAGTTTTACTCACCTACACTGTGCTACTCACACTATCGAATATAAATCTAAAGGAATGTATATTAACAACTCAGAATGCAAGATTTTGCATGATGGTTTGCATGGGCATACTGGAAGAACCGCGCTTGAGGGCTTAAAAAATGGAGACATCCCATTTTGATGCTTGGTTCTTCAACCTTTTGCAGCCGGCTGCCTAATGACATTAGTTATCTTACTGGCAACAACAAAAAAAAAAAAATCATCAACAACTCCTCATGATGAATAGCAGAATATGAACATAAATATAGTGAAACAATTTCTTTGGTTTTAACTTTTTTTTTTTTAATGTGATGGCACTGACTCCGATTGGTTATTCTTCGAAATTGCTGAATGTATGTCCAGGACGTGCAAATCCTGATTTCAAGCATGGGTGGAGATTCTGTGACAGGCCTCACAGCAAAGCTGAGTGATTTTATGTATTCTTGTTTGTAATTGTATAAATAATTGCTTTTCAGCCAAGACCTTTATTTCATTGTTCATCACCGTGAAGACTAGTTCTACTTCTCAATTGGATTGATATTTTCCCCCCACAGTTTCATGCCTCCCCCCCCCCCCCTTTTTTTTTTAATGCTAGTGGCGCACTGATAAATCCCATCTTTATAGATTGATATGCACTGGGTAGGTGATGAGTTCAACATCCCACCAATAGCCCATATATCCTGGGACATTACCTAGACCCATTTTATTTTAGGCTAGGTTGACCTGGGAGCCAAGTCAGTGTCGAAAACATATCTGACTCTATGTGCATTTGAACTCTCTTTTGTTATTTTCTATATAACAGTGACAGTTTAACAGAAATAATGATTTCCTTTTAAGCTGGTTAGAACCTTGTTTTATTGTCGGGAAGGACAAGCATCCTAGACTATGTTCACTTCCAGCGTGTTCTGGCACACACCTTTTTTTTTACCCCTTTGCAAACATATTTTTGATTCCATGCATGAGTAGATATATAACAATGTGATACTGGTTTGATTACGCATAGCCATACCATAGTGTAGGCTCGGTGAATGTTAATTTCTATCTTAGTAGCTGATAAAGTAGATTTTTGCTTTATTTTTTATACTTCACAGGCAATATTGTAGGATAATGAGTGCATATGAAATATGAATGAAATAAGCTAACAAGATAAAGAAAGAGTATTTGTTAATTAATAATGGTTCTTGGGCTAAATTGCTATGCAAGCTATATCTATATCTATAGCTGAAGATATGTTTTTGCTCCTGAGCTAAAGTTATATTCTGAATTAAAATTAAAAAAAGATTATACCTTTAAAATGAATCCTAATATTAAGCTGCATTTAACACAAGTGGAATGACTATCAATTTGAATTTAGCTTTTTGCAACACAACTGGAATGACTAACACTATGTGTCAAGTGTGTTTGTTGAGTTTCTTGAGTAAAGTCAAACATTGTGGAACAGTTATCTACTTACATCACTGACAAATGTTTACAAAAGGCATCCATTGGTAGAACAAAATATACACAAATAACCAACTTCACAAGATTAGGTATTACCATTATGAACAACACAACACACCAACATGTACACCACTAGATTGCCCATGGCTAGAGCTATAATACTTTCACACTTCTCAGTTTCATCAGATTCAGCTCAGTAAAATATTTTCAGCGCAAGGATATTTGAACATGTCATGGGCAGATATCATTGTAAGTACGAATCATCTTCATATTCATCTTGTAACATGGGCTGTTGTTTTTTCTCAGCTTTGTACATTTGCATGTCTTCCATACGTTTGCGCCGGAAAAAGCCCAGCTGTAAAAGAAAAAGGAAAAAACAATTTACATTTTGTGAATTGGTTTTCCTCAAGCTGTCATTCTTGATTACTCTTATACCTTCGAACTCTGCCTGAGAAGTGAGGAACCTACAGTCTACATACAAATAGACCAGATCTGTAAAACAGAAGTGCAAGCAAAACTCAAATTCTAGAACTAATCCAGAAGTTGATGAACAACCAGAATTTCCCTGTGGAGTTTAGATCCGGTGAATGTGAAAAGAAATACTTTTATGTGTAACTAACATCTGGTCTAGAGGATATGTTTAATGGAGGCCATGCCAAGAGCTGCAAAATTTATTTAATAAAACATTTTTGCAATTTTTTATCATATATGTAAAATTCTGCCTAATAATGAAAAACATATTTTGAGATTGAAAACTGCTATTCTTGGTTTGAAAATATTGGCTCTCCTCCGAATAACGGTCCCAAATTATCTACTCAGAAAGTAAACCCTAACAGAGCCTCACTCATATCTAAAATTTGCATGTCTTTTGCGGCGAATCAACCGCGTCAAAAGTAGGATTAATTGCGCACGACATTTTTGCGAAATGAACGGATTTTTTTAACGACGATTAAACGGCGGCAAAACTAGGTTTAACTACAGATGAAAAATTAGCGACACGCAAGAATACTCCCAATAGCGCTATCAGTCGCCGACTATAGTGCCACCTCCCAGAGTATCCCCGCGGCGCGGAAGGGGCTAAACTAGATGGCTGGGATTCACGAGCAGCAGCTACTGCGTCTCCTGCAGCTTCCTCCATTGTATTTGCTCGTGAGTCTTAGCCATCTAGTTAAGCCCCTTCCGCGCCGCGTGTAGCGGCGACGGGGATACTCTTGGAGGTGGCACTTTAGTCGCCAGAAAAAAGTCATGAGCTACTTCTTCCGTCGCAACTGCCAGTGTGGTCGCATTCACCAGGGTCACGGGTTGGTCGGGATAGTGGAGCTCCATAGTGGCGGCTGCTGGTTTGAAGTTGTCCCGAGGTGACATGCGCGTACATTTAAACGCGCATTACTGATTATGTCTCGCCCAGTATGAGAATCGCGGACAAGCCGCGCCATGATCGCATCTTATTCGGCTGAGTTGCAATGGCGGACAGCCAGAAAGAACAGATATTCGGGCACTATTTGCAACTTCTGTGCCCCAATTTTCACATATAAAGGATTTAACCTATCGGTAAGTAGTCGACTTCGCCCTTTTCCTCATACTTTTCGTTCCTTATATTTTCCGAGCTACAACTTTTAAATCTTTGTAGGGCAGGACGTAATGAGGCTCTGTTAGGGTTTACTTTCTGCGTAGATAATTTGGAACCGTTATTCGGAGGAGAGCCAAAATATTTATTACCTTCCCTGCATACCTATGTAATCTGCATCAAGAATGATTTTTTTTCTTTTCTTCAAAAATGACCTTGGCTCCCAGGTCGACCCAGCCTCAAATGAGTACCAGGTAAAGTCTTGGGAAGTAAATGCTGCTGACCACATCATCCACCGAATGCTGATAAGTCTATACAGATTAGGTCTAGCAATGTATGCCCCAATAGGTCTATTGCCATGAAAACGGGTCCTTTTTTTTTTTTACTTAGTTGCATACCTAAAGCACTGTCAATAAAAGCTATCATAAGCAACATTAACAGAACTCAAACAACAGAACAAAAAGACACAAACAGCAATTAGGAAATTATGCGTTTAAACACAGTAACAACAAATTATAAGGGACTGAAAAGTGAGTTCCTGTGTGTGGGGGGAGGGGGGGGGGAGAGATGTGGCAACTGGGACTAATAATAATAAACCTGTTCTGTGTCCAAAATGTTGTTCGTGTTAACCAAGTGCTCTTTTCAAGCGAGTTCATGCTAATGAGGTTTTATTGTGCACACAATTAAGATCTTAAAAAGATGACTTCTAAAAAATGTATTATAAATTATGGTACTAACCTTGTAAAGAACAAATATGACTACAAGAAGAACTACTAATCCCACAAGGACTGCAACAAGAATAATCCACCACTGTACCACTTGGCCAGCAGTCTCCTTGAAGTCTGGCACGGCACGTGTAATACCCTGTTTTAATAAAATTATAGTAAAAAATATATTTTGAAAGCCAGAATATTTTCACAGCCTGAAAAATAACTGTTATGTCAAATTTACTATAAACAATTGGCAGCACGGGTATTTCATTTCTGATACCTCTTCCTGTCCATATTTTTCTCTAGCTGATATTTCTGACTATGTAAACTTCTTAGCTGTTTACAATTCTGTTTATTTGTCTGTTGAAAAAGACTTTAGCTGTATAAGTTGTATTTGCGTGTGCCTTTCCCTCTCCTTCACAAAGCTTTCAACTCATTGTATCAAATTGCCAACAAAAGTGGTGAACACTGCATTTTCCTCCATACAGTATAGTAGAGCAGGGTTATTCAACTGGCGGCCCGTGGGCTAGATTTGGCCAGGCAAGGCCTAGCAAATGGCCCGCCGATCACTGCTAGTTTTGTACTGCATTTATGGTCTTTCTATGCTGGGGCTTCTGGCCCGTAACGATCCCCATTTTTGAATATTTTGGCCACTGAGTCAACTTAATTGAATAGCCCTGCAGTAGAGCATATTATGAAATGTAGCTATCTATCTATAACAGGAAAGACACCAATGCGTAACATTTTCCCCTCTACAAAATAAGATAATTCATAACAGTTATAAATTCTGCGGGTGTGTGACAGATTTAAATTTTAAAAATAAGTTATGTTGGTCAATATATATACAAAATGTGAGTAAAATAAAATTTATGCTTAACATTAATGTTTACACCATACCAAAGGTGAGATTTAAAAAATAATAACACATTCATACTCTTTTCTTGTCATCAGATTTATCCTGGGTTATCATCAGCTTGGAGGGTACAGTGATTTCTCCCCAGGACTGGATCTGCACTTCCGGCATCTTTCTGTAATCCTGTTAAATAATTTGTAAACATATATTTGTTTCTTTTCCACAAACTGCAGAACATCAGCATGGGCAGAGTAAATGAAAGAACAAATATTTAAATAAACTATCAATGCTGTGAAAGTTTAGTACAGTCAACATTAACTCTGCAGGTCAGGATGTCTATTTCTGTCCCAGCCAGACAAAAAAAAACTTCCTCACCTGACCAGAGATCTGAACCCATATCTCCCATGTGAAAGCCCAATGTTCTAACCTGTGGCAAGTTGCTTTAGTGTTATATTGCTAAATCTAATCATTACTTGTTTAAGCTTACAATCAGTTCATCTTTTGCAGTAAAGTCACACATGGTATATATACAAATTAAGGTTAAAATAGCCAGAAAGCTTCAAAGATATCAATGACAGACAACAGAACGATTTGGTCAAAATGTATACTGAAGGCTCGAGACACACCAGTATATTGCTGAAGATCAGTTATTACTAACCTTTACTGCAGTGATCGTCCTAGATTATAATTATTGCATATCTTCTTCTTCTTCTTCGCGTTCACCAGCTGTAAAATCTGGCAGAAAGTTCTGGTTGTTCATCCACTTTTGGACTGCAGTCCTGTTTCGGAACCTGAGTGTTGCATGTGCATCAGTTTTACAGATCTGACTCATTTGTATGCAGACTGCTGGTTCCTTGCCTCTTAGGCAGATGCACTCTGACTTTGAAGGAAGCTCCCAATTAGTCGACTCTTACTACATGCTTTGGGGTACTGCATTTAACTCATATTATTTTACATGAATTCTTGATTAATGTCATAAGCTTGGTGAGATAAAATGAAGAATCAAAGCTGCATAATTATACTTCAAAAAAATCTACTTATAAACAATCAATCAATCAGCCTGTCCATTACATGATGCCACTCTCTTCACGGCACGACTGAAAGTCTCTCTTTATCTAGCCAATTCTCCAGCCCTGTGTGCTATCATAAGCAATGTATCTTCAATGTCCTGTATCCATCTTCACAGTGGTCGGCCTCAGCCTCGTTTTCCAGAAACTGCTCCATTCATCACCGTTCTCTCCAGACCACTGTGTCTCTTGACATGTCCAAAATACCCCTTCTTTAGAGAAAGGATGCTGTGTACAAGCCGGTTATCCTCGATTTTCAGGTCGACGTTTTTCCTTTTCTTGGTCCGCAGTATTCTAAGAATCTTTCTGTAGCATTTCAGCTCAAAAGCTCAGATTTCCTCTTCAAACAGTATAAAAGACATCAGTGTATAAAGGAAACACTTATTAAAAAACAACAGTGTATAATAGACAACAGTGTATAAAAGACAACAGTGTATGATAGACAACAGTATAAAAGACAACAGTGTATAAAAGACAACCGTGTATAAAAGACAACAGTGTATAAAAGACAACAGTGTATAAAATACAACAGTGTATAAAATACAACGGTGTATAAAATACATCAGAGTACAAAAGCTACAAAATTGACTTCAATACAATTTACTTACAGACAACAGTGTGCTTTCCCACAACCGTGCCTCCATTGTGATTGTGACAAAGTCCAATCCTGGCTCCAATTTTCCTATCTTGCATCTGTATTCAAAGCACTTTGCAGAACCATCATGACAACTCTGAATAATGAGAAATTGTTAACTCTGAATAATGAGAAATTGTTAACAATGTTCAAACAAACTAAATACAGTCCTAAATAAAACTGATAATAAATAAATATCACACGTCAATAACTGTTATTTTCTTTATGTATAAATAAACAGCTTAACCAAATCACTGAATACAGTTTCACTTAGCTATGAGAAAATCAATGCAACATCCAAATTTAGTTAGTTAGTCTTTCGACTTGTGTCGAGTGCGGCACATAGGGCAGAGGTCGCGACTCTCCATGCACGGCGGTCCGTTGCAATCCGTTGTAGGTCTTGGATGTTTGAGTGGCCCATGAGCGAGCCTTCCCTGATGATAGTTCTACGTAGGGTTTCCCTTGGTCTTCCACGAGATCTTTTCCCCTGTGGTGTCCAAATGAGGGCTTGGTAAGGAAGTCTTGATTTATCCATTCTAAGGGCGTGGCCGACATAGTTCCAGCGGCGTTTTCGTATAAAATTAGACACATACTCTTGCCTGGATTCTTGCTTTATTAACATCCAAATAAATAGGAACAATCTTAAGTGAATTATTCCAAAACATATCAGATCAGATGGAAAATGCCTTGTAGAGATCCAAACAAGAAATAGGAAAGTTTAAAAAAAAACTTTTTTTGCTTTTAAAGATGTGCTTAAATAAAACCTACAGTAAGAAAAAAGTGTTCAAGTGCAATATCGAGCCCATGATACTTTTTAAGCACATGAAAAACTGAGAAACACCAGATGATAGCAGAGATGTGATTCCTGTGGCAAGTACAAGTACAAATAAGGCAAAGGACACAGATGAGATAATTAGTCCTTTGAGAAGCAGATTTCAAGAGAAATTAAATGTTGTTGGCACCTGTCGGTCTCTATAGACAATAGTGTCATATTGTGCCATAAAGAGGCATAGGAATCAAGTACTACGCTTAAGAATAAAGTAGCCATCAAAGTATTTTATGTCTTTCATCACTCCAGATTTGTGCTCAAAGTTAAAGTTAGGTTAAAGTCAAGAGGATTGGTTTTATCCCATATGGCTAGGTCTCTCTCCGCAGAACTGCTAGCCACCTCCCGACAACATCGCACAAAGCACAAACTCCACATCTCCGATGACAACCCCCAGTTTAATAATGCAAATGCACCCCAAACAAGTTGGAGTCTGCTGACAATGAAATATCTCAAACCGATAAAAGAAAAAAATAACAACCTACAAATAATCGCCAGCAGTCTGCATGCTGCCCTGAATACTAGGTTACATTCTTATATGCCTCTACAAAGGTGCCTGCACTTATAAACCCAACAGCAGATTCTAAAACTGAACCCAAGACATTCAGAATACAAAGCAAAGGGCAGATCTGTGTCAGCAAATGTGAAGTTCCAAAAGCAGCCTTGTACATCTCATGAGTTTCTAAAGTTAAAGACAGAAAAGACAGTTCTGCTACACAGTCACCATGGAGATGTTACATTAGTGCTTTGCTAGGTGGAAAGTCTATGCCAGTATATCAAATCAGAGAGTTAAAACTCTGTTTTCCAGAGGGATCACCAAATAACGATGGTGTAACTTGAACAAGAAAACAATGTCTAGCTTCTTGAAGAAAAAAACTTACAAAGACAAGAGTTGTGGTGGCCCTCTTTGTTTTTGGATCAACTTCTCTCTTACGTCTGCTGCTTGACACATCAGCAGTCGATGTGGAACTAGCACTCTCTGCATCTCTTAATGCTTCTGCTGCCAGTCTGTCTTCAGTCACTTCCTACAATAATAAACAAAAGTGTCTTAATTCTTCAGATAGTTTTACCAACTCTTTTATAAGTTAAAAAACGATTTCACACTCTTTTACAAATTATAAAATAATTATCCTGGTAGTTTTACAAATTAAAGGAAAATAATTTGAAGGAAATATTAGCAAATGCAGTAAAGATTAAATCTGGCAAGTCTCCAGATGTCACACATGCAGAAACATTATAAAAGGACATAAGTGAGAACAAATCAGAGGCTCTGTGGTTCGATCCATACAAATGACCATAGCTCTGACAAATGTTCTTTTTTTTCAGAATGAATAATCTGAAGCAGTCACATGTAATCTTGGTAATCTTAGTTTCAGCTTCATAGCAAACAGGTCACCCCACAGTTGCTCCGCTATGCAGTCAGATGTAGTCACTTCTGTCCCTTCTCATTCAGTCTCATTCATTCTTAGTATGTCAGTGTTCAATCTTTTCCTCATTTTATTTCCTGTACTTTTACCGCCTTGTTCAGGTCCTGGCAGAGCCTGACTTGTCGTTAAAAGAAAAAAAGACCTCGGCTCTGATCTTGACCCAGCCTTAAAAGGGTACAAGGTAAAGTCCAGGGAAGTAAAGATGGCCGATATGATCATTATCACACCACCCACTGATTTCTACTTGGTTTATAAAATATAGGTCTAGTCCTATACGCCAAATACACCTTATACAGACTGGAGCTAAGCCCTATCACTGTTGTGCACACACACTGGCAGAACAGTCAGCCAAACATATCCAACAAGGCCATCATATGACTTTTTGTGATCTGAATACTGGCCTCATAAAAACATCCACACAAAGCAATGTGGGAATCATAGAGTTTTAACATATGTCTCCAAAGCAGTGGGCTTGGCATTCTGCAAATACACTATTACAGCAATAAACAGAAGAGAAGAAGAGGCAGACAATTAAATAAAAGTTATAAAATGACACACACACACAAAGAATGGTTTAGGCAATGAAACTGTTACCTTTATACTGTGAGGGTTTATATATTTCTCAATCTCATCATCATTACATCTGATGACTGGCCCAACAGTCTGCAACAGTAGAATAGTAAGCTTTAAATACAAACAAATGCAAAAACCTTTTAGGGAAATGGGATAGCATGAATACAGTCAAATAATTATTCTGAGATATTCTAGAAGACAAATAAAAACCTTATTTCTGAACTCCATCGACTTTAAGATGGCTTTTGACAGCTGACACAGACCATCACAGTGAGGAATGTTATGGTATACCAAAAGATAATAAATGTTATTAAAGCAATAATGAAGGCTGAAAGTGTGCAGTGCACACAGTTTATGTTTAAGTCACAGGTTTCCAACCAGTGCACTGTGGAGCCCTTAGTGCTCCACAATCACTTCCCAGTGACTCTGTGGCTGCTCCAAGGAAATAAATAAAAACTGAATGACGTTATACAAGCGAAGTTATGAAAGTAATGCATCATATCAGGGGTTTTTTCAGGGTGTTTATTCAATATTCAAAAAGCATGAAAATTATACACAACATGCAAGGATATGTCATGTAAACACTAGTATTTTATAAAGTAATCCTCATCACCTTGTACAATTGTATGCCTGCATGAAATAAGTGCATGTATTCCAAGCCCATACCAGATTCTGTCTTGATCTTGTAGTAATTTATTTTGGAACAGAAGCGGTATCTCTCTGCTGACCAAGCTAAAGGTTTACAGAGCTGTAATTCTTCCAGTACTTCTCTACGCTTGTGAAATGTCCCCTCCCAAAGAGAGTATTTTATGGCGAGCTCCAGCAAGGGAAGAGGTCCCAGGGAGGACAGAAAAAGTGCTACAAGGACACTCTCAAGACTGCTCTAGATTCTTTTAGTATCAACACAGTGACGTGAGAAGCTGCTGCACAAGACCGTTTTGGATGGCATACATCCCTCAGGCACGGTGCATCGGCCTGCCAAGCAGACGAGGTTGCACAGACAGAGAAACGGAAGCAGACCAGAAAGAATCGTACTGCTAATCTCATACTTACTGCGGCTTCCATCTGTTGTCTGCACTGCTCAAGAATTTTCCAGGCTCAAATAGGACTGATCAGATACCTTCGTACTCTTAGTCATTGGTCATTACTACTTTGGATGAAAAGTGGTCTTCATGATTCGTGATGGTCGAACAACAGTTATTTATTCCATACAAGAAACACTCCTTCATCATCTTCAACCTAGTCCCATGAAGTGCATCTTTGAGTGGACCGCATAGATGAAAATCAGAGTGTGCCAAATCAGGACTATTAGGCGGATGGAGTAGTCCAGTCCAACGCAATTTAGTGATTGCTTCCTGTGTTGTTAGACTTGTGTGAGGATGCACACTGTCATGAAGAATAAACAGGTCTTCTGGATTCTTGTGCAGCCAAACTCAGCAACAATGCCGAGTTTTCAATGTCCTAATGTAAGTTGTAAATTAATCATCTCTTGGCATAAAACAAGAAAGACACCCTCCACGTCCCAAAAGACAGTGATCATGACCTTTCCAGCTAAAGGAGTTGTCTTAACTTCTTTCTCTGTGCTGACTGCAAATGATGCCACTTCACTGACTGTCTTTTTGTCTGTTTCAAAATAATGTGCCCAGATTTCATCACTTGTAATGATCTTAGCCCCAAAAAAATCTCTCTATCAGCATTGAAATGTTTAAAAAGTTAAGAGGAACTGCCTTCCTTTGCACAAACCTTGAAAAATCTGAGTTTTTACAAATGCATTTGCACTACCATTGCTGACTGACAGCTGTAAGACCAACTGCTGAGTAATGATTTACCTACCAGTCAGAATAATCCCCTCAGTGCATTTCAACATTTCTGTGCTGGTGGCTGTAGCACAATGTCTACAGTGTGGCCGATCAAGCAGCTCTGCGCCTCCACTTCTTTTATTCTCTGAACCCAACAACTGACCTTACTCCTCTTCAGACTGCAAAACTTCCATACACATCACATAGAAACTTGTGAATTTTGACAATAGTTTCCTTCTATTATATTACAGCTTGCTGCTTATAAAGCCAACTGCTAAAATGCTCAATTTCAATGGTTTAGGTTTAGGGTAGCCAAATTTATCTGGCTGTTTTTACACACAACTGGTACATGCCATATTTGAAGTGTGCAAAATTTCATTATTAAATGAGGGGGAAAAAATGATGTGTTGCACTATTAAATATGCTAGACGAAGAAGAAGAAGAAGAAGCTAGACACATCACAATATGGAGGGTGCTGTTATCAGTCACATCAGGTCTACCTACATTCACATTATAAATGGCAAAATTCAACGTTACCGCCTGACAGGATGTATTAATAGTATTTGTTTGTATGTATGGCTAAATTCTTACAATACCATGTAGCACAAACTGACTATACTGGTAATTGTCAAACAATTTTAACATATAATTTCAATGCATGGATACTGCACAGTTGTTTAGATATCTGCGGAAAGACTGAGCCATATGGGATAAAACAATGTGCAATGAAGTCAATCCTCTTAACCTTAACTCAACTAGCTTAACATTCCCTTAATATCTACCCCCTCTTTCTCCAATATTTAAAATTACTTTAAACACATTTAACTTGTAAGACATAGTGTACAGTTGGCCTAAGGCGCCCTGCCATAGACACTGATTGTGCAAGTCAAATCAGTTGGGAACCACTGGTTTAAGTGGTCAGTTTGCAACAGAAGCTGAGGTGAAACAGGGGTATTATTTGGCATAACTATTGAATGAGTGGTGAAACAAAAAATGTGTACCAAATAATGGCACTGACTAAGCAGACAAATTTTGCATATCATATTGTACTGCTAAGTAGGAACAACAATGAAGTGCAAAGAAAAAAAGATTAGGGAGATTATTACATTTTCTTAAAATATCACTAGCATTTAGTCAATTTCATTGTGACTCGAGTCAGAGTTCTTCTCTCTTTACGTACAATAATAATGTTCCTTTCAATTAATTCTGCTTATTTACTGTTTTTTCAAGTTAGCTTAATATTATTGTGCCTTAATGAGTTACTTTGGTTTTATTTCTGTTTTTTGTTTTTTTTGCACTTTTTTTTTTCTGTAATCTGATCAAGGCTTTTTGCAATGATCTGTTTTTTCTTCTAATGTGCTCTTGGAAAGCTGATCTTCTGAATTGTGTTTTTCTAATAATGGTTTATATTTTCAGTTGTCTAGGGTTTATTGGAGTATTTTAGCTTACTCCTCTCGTGCCACCCCCCCCCCCCCCAACCTTTTCTCCTGAGGATACAGAAACTGTGAATGACACTGTGCTACAGACATACTATTTCCGGCTAATATGCGATTAACTGGTTCCTCCTTTAAAAGCAGCGGTATGTGTAATTGTTATAAAGGTTGTTAAATAACTGAAGCTGCAGTTGCAATATTAAGCGCTAGGTTTTCACTTATTTTAGACCACGATGAAAGAGGTGAAGCGTTAGGTCTTCACTTATTTTAGACCACGATGTGAGAGGTGGGGTGGCCAACTCCCTTCCGCGTCTTTCCTTCTCTGACATCTTTTCTTTTTCATGCCGCAACATCTAGTGTGAGAAAGGAGGCGGAGACTGTAATGGGAGGTTTCTAATGGCTTGACGGCTGCACAGCCCAATACCTAATTGTAACGGACTCTCAGAGCATGCTTCGGAAAATAGAAACTGACGCTCTATGTGTAGGGTGGCTTGCATCGCTTGATATAAGTCAGATCAGGAGCATATCAGGGATTTTCTGTCCAGGATATTCCGGCATGCGGATTAATGTTAGAGGTGATAGACTGGCTGCTGTCACCATCTGGGTGGTGAGATACTTCTTGATAAAGCGGACATGGTAAAGGCTCTCTGGAACCGAACAGTGCCCACAACTTGAAAGAACAGGGGTGTCAATTATTGATGCATTTCTTCTCACACAATTTTAGAACTTTCTGAAAATTATCTGATCCTCATTTCTAGAGGCTTGGTCAACCCCAGAGCCACACTGGATGGAACAAACTCTGCTGTATCTGAGAATTGAACCTGGACCAATGTTGTGTCAGGCAATAAGCTGCCGCTCCAGTGGTAGTAAAACAACCTTCAGGCATACATAAAAACTATAAGAGATACTGAAGAAAAATCTTTCTCCTTTAAAAACATGCAATAAAACCTACTTCTGTTAAGACCTCCTTACCTTTGGCTGTCTCATCAGGTATAGTAGATACTTTCCTGTTCCTGTGTCACCTCCAACTTCATAAGGCCAAGAAATATTGATATAGGATTCTGAAACCACACCTGGGCCAGCATTCCTTACCTGTATTGGGATATGTGTAATAAAAACATTTATAGAAGCAGGTACCATAAAGCAGAAGAAAACAGTACCGTTATTTTGCAGGATTCTCCCCTGTACAAGTTTATATGTTTATAAAGATATTCTCGCCTAGTGATGGGCATGCAAAACATATGTTCTAGAACAGAGCAGAAGTGGATGAATAATCATAACTTTTCGCCACAGCTGCATGAAGATGGTAATTAGGAATTTGGGCTGAAGAAATGTGAAGTGCAAATAGCGGTAATCTTTTACAACATTTGTACATTGAAAGAAACCCCTAACTGGTCGACTCATGACAAGTTTGTTAGGTCGGCAAGTGAGACTATCCCCCCCCCCCCCCCCCCCCCCCCCCGCAACGGGGCCCCAAAAACCGCGTGGGGACTTAATTTGAACATATTTGTATAAAGATACTGTATATATGTTTTCATTTACTCTTTGTCCCTGTGTGGGTTCCGGGAACCTATTTTGGGGAAAACAAGAAAGACCCACTGCCTCCACAACAAGCATGTCATAACAGGACTAAATACTGGGTTTCCTTCAAAGCTGGAGTGCATTGGCATAAATCAATAGTCTAGACCAGAAATATGAAACAGATGTGCACACAACACTCAAGTTCTGGATCAACACTAAAGTGGACAAACAACCAGAACTTTCTGCCACAGTTTAAAGCCGGCAAATGTGAAGAAGAAAATTCTCGTTGGGTACCACAGGACTCATCATGATTTGATCATTAATTAAAAGTTGAACTAATTGAAAAGTTTGAAAGACAATAAAACAAAGAAAAGAATTGTTAACTCAAGAAAATAAAGGCTAAGAACATAGCAGCTTTTCCCTTTAGCCTGAATTTTTTTTTTTGGGTACTTAATCACAATTTGGTGAGGTAGAATATGACCAGATAACTTACCTATTTTTACAACTGAGTTGCCTGGGCAGGTTCCCACACTTACAACTGACAAAATACCAGACAACTAAACATAAAGCAACACACACACTGCAAGAACAATGAACTGAACCTGTCTTATACTGGTGAAAACAGGGGTGACTGCAGTCAAGCTAATACCAAGAAATTAATCCAGTAAAATGTGACTAAAAAGCTTAACAAAATGGGGAAGCTGCTTCCCCATTTCGTTAAGCTTTTTAGTCACATTTCACTGGATTAATTTGCTGTCTTATACTGACACAAATACGATGTAATACTGGACCTCGAGTACTGGATTATGCCCACCATTCAGAAATACTACCTAGGAAAAGTTCTTACAATTAATCTTACCAAAGGTTGATAAGAGAAAGTGACACTGCTGACATTTACAGGCTGTTGTGGACAGAACAAACACCACTATCTATAATCAGGAGGTCAAGCAAATGAGAATTACCAGATATCATTCGTGTTAGACACAATTAAAAATTTTCAGGTCTGATAAATGATACATTTATGTATAGCTGGAAGCAGTAAGTGAATAATAAATAGTGTCAGCGAAAGAATGTGTATGCAGTAAGTGAGGCTTAATAATGCAGAAAGTACACAGACAGCTAGAAAGATTAAAATATTAAAGATGAAGATAAAAATATTTCTTCACCTCAAGGTACAATCATATGAGTATAGCAATCTACAAGTCTTGTAGTAAGACCCTCTTACTTTCCTCTTAGTTCAAATCAGAGATCTAAAGTTACTATAACTTCTAAATTGTTACTATAAAATATCTCCCTCCCTCCTTGTCTATCAGTCTCACACACAATCCCGCCTGCAGGCATACATGCATGTACCAGTGAGGAGGTGATTTTATTCTGCTGCAATATTTAGCAGCAAACTGGTATTTATATTTCAGTATACTACTTAATGTTTAGCTTTACTCAAAAGTCGGTGAAGTTTAATTTACAAATTAACGGATCAGCTGACCATTTGTGTGAAAGCCCAGGCTCACCTATATAACTACATTTTGAAGAAAGATGTGAGAGGATCAACTACAGTGCACAGAGTTTATTCCGGCTCTTGGCTGGTGCCTACCAAAGCACAAACTTCATAGCTCCAGCAACATCTTCCTTCGCCCTCCCCCCCCCCCCCCCCCCCCCCCCCCCCCCCCCCCACCAAAATACTGATCAATGAAAAATATTTTTACTCATAAACAAAGCAAAACAGTCTCAAAACAAACTCGTGGTGACCTTCATTGTGTCAGGATGACAACTTAACTCCTGTTTGAAGAAAACCTTTAAGCCAGGTGTGCTATCAGCAATCATCTAATCTAAATGTTTCCAAATATTCCAGTGAACTTTGACCACTCACTAAGTGGCCAGTCCACACTTGACCACTGCATTATCTTATCGGATTAAACTGGCTTATCTAACCTTTGACCTCATGTCAAAGTCTACTGCTGGTAGTCAGTGTGACTAGACTATGATGATTCAATTTCAGGATGACAAAAGATGTAACTAACTGGTTTCCTTCTGGTGTTTGTTCAGTCTCTGTCCTGTCATCATGACCCATTTCCACATCATAGGCGTATAAGGTATATAGCTATATTTTTATATTTTAAAGAGACCGGCACTTGGTGGGTAATGTGGTCAACATCATGCCTCTTGCCTTTACTTCCCAGGACTTTACCCTGTACCCACTTTAGTCCGTATCGACCTGGGAGTCAAAGTTATTTTTTTTTATAAAAATCTGGCTTTATGTGGATTTGAACCCATGACCCTGTCATCAGGGTTTAAAACTGTATGGCTGACAGACAGTAAGCTATCAGCTTTATATAACACATATAAGACAGGGAATGCACAGTTTATAAAATATAAGACATTAGTATCTAGCTAGGCACATCTTCTACTTCTGTGTCAGCTTCTCTTCTATAGATTAAAGTGACGTGTTGTGGTACTGTTTCACCTGGGCAGGTGGAATCACAGTGCAAGAGTGGTTCATGGTCTACAGATTAGAACTAGAAATGAAGAAGTGTTATCACTTTACATGGTTATAATTGCATTCTGACAGAGTACCTATCCAAATGAAACTGTCACAAAAACAGACTTACTGTAAAGTTATGTTTAACCGAAGCTCCAATGTCAACCTCATTCAAGATGGAACTGACGTCTCGAGGCTCTCCCTTACACAGGATAGTGCTGTCTGGCACTACAGTACTATACATACAAATAACAGATATAATAATAGCATGTGTAAATCATAATAACGACACTTTTTACTTTAAAAAAAAAAAGTTTACACATAAAGAACATTAATAACTGTGTCATTGTAGAAATCACAATGGCCATAATTTAGAGCATTACACACATTTATATGTTTAAAACAAACTGTGAATATGGACACCATAGCAGTGATAAATTATAGAAAGACACATTTACATGTAAAAGACATACAGTGTGAATGTGTAAATTATATCTACTGAGAATCAAAGAAATAAATGGACAGACAACATCAAGAGGGGCCATACAATGGTAGTGAGACTACAGTTACAAAGTCAATTTTAAAATGTTATAACCACAACAAAATAAACATTTCAGCTAACGCTACTGGTAATAATTAACAATTTTTATTATTACAAATAGCCCTGGCCTCATACACTCAGTAACCCGTCATCCATATATACACTGTGTGACTGGTCATTCTCATACACCGAGTGACCAGTCATCCATATACACTGAGTGACCGGTCATTCCCATACACTGAGTGACCAGTCATCCACATATAGTGAGTGACCAGTCATCCCCATACACTGAGTGACCAGTCATCCACATATAGTGAGTGACCAGTCATCCCCATACACTGAGTGACCAGTCATCCACATACACTAAGTGACCAGTCATCCCCATACAATGAGTGACTGGTCATCCCTATACAATGAGTGACCAGTCATCCCCATATACTGAGTGACTGGTCATCCCCACACACTGAGTAACTGGTCATCCCCATATATTGAGTGACCAGTCATCCCATACACTGAGTGACCAGTCATCCCCATACACTGAGTGACCAGTTATCCCCAAACACTGAGTGACCGGTCATCCCCGAACACTGAGTGACCAGTCATTAAAGAGTTAGCCATATTTATTATCAAACAGTCTAATCGAGTGTTCTTTAATCTGTGGGCTGTGGTCCTGTGGTGGGCAGCGGATAAATTTAGTCTTGTTTTGAGGTAGGGAAGGTGGTTTTTGTCTTCCAGTTTGAAGGATTAACACCACTAGGACTTCCTATTTGTGTGGGGGGAAAAAACATTCTCAAGCATGTCGATCATGAAACCCAAATAAAATCAAATGGACGTTACTGTAGTGCTTCATATATCGGAAACAACACTCAAGCTTCATATATCAGATTTTTTGTGTGTTAACCTCCTTGTGTCTCCTAAACAATTCCAAGAAAATTCTAGAAATTATCAGGTACTTCATGAGGCTGAGGGTCAGCTCCTGAGCTATACTGGTCAGACAAAAATCCTGCCACCCCTGGGGACGATACCCGGTACCACTGCCATAGGAGGTAAGTGCACTAACCACTATGCCACTGCAACTAATAAACCAAATTACAAAGTGAAGCAGATTATTCTGTAATTCAAGTTTTTTGGTAAAAGTATTATCATAAAGCCATCCAAATTACAAAATTACATAGCTTCAGTTAAGTTTTGACTGGGGGCCAAAATGGTGAAAATCAGAGGGCCAGAAAAAAAAAAAATCACTAATGCAATAGTTGGCAATGATCCACAAAAAGGGGAAATCCACAGGTCACGGCACAGTCTAATATTTCAGGGGGTGGTAAATAGGCTGCATACAGTCATGGGACCTTGGCTGCATGCATTTGGGGGACCTAGGCTGCACTCTATCGTGGGACGTAGGTGGGGTGGGGTTAGGGTCAGTTCTAGATGTTTTGGGGGTCCTTAAAAGCATCAGAAAGCCGAGAAACCAAGTCTTACCACCTTCTAAAATGTTGGACTGTCCTGTGACGTAATTTGGGGTAAAATATTAATAAAGAACCCAGATTGGGCCTACAGACCGAAAGTTGAATAGCCCTGCCCTATGCCATTTAGGTTTTCGCGGAAATGGGTCACAAATGTAACATGAGAATGCTCATTAATGTAACATGCCTGAAAAATATCTGTTGCAAGTGGTTTACAAATGAACACACAAATAAAGCTATGTCAACAACAGAAACTTACGTGGACAGAGAAATCTCAGCTCTGTTAATGAAATGCAAAAGCAGGGTATGATAGTCATTGAGGGGTGTTTCTTCTGTACTTGATCTGTGAAATGTATAAACATCTGTTTTACTGATAGCATAAAATGCCATAATGAACACTTCTTATAAAAATAGAAATAGTAGCTGTAGTCATTTTACTTTTGCTCAGTGACTGGTCCTTAACAGAAAATGGTTATCATTACTCTCAATGCTGGTGAAGGTTACATTATTAGTTGTTGCACTGTTGTGTTCCTGATGTTAACCAGCCAACCAACCAACAGTTTACAACACAAACCATAGAACAGATTACAGAGAACTTCTACTTAAAGTGAATATCTATGGTTTAGAGAACTTATAGTGAATATCTACGGTTTAGAGAACTTCTACTTATAGTGAATATACCGTTTAGAGAACTTCTATTTAAAGTGAATATCTACGGTTTATAGAACTTCTACTTATAGTGAATATACCGTTTAGAGAACTTCTACTTATAGTGAATATCTACGGTTTAGAGAACTTATAGTGAATATCTATGGTTTAGAGAACTTCTACTTATAGTGAATATATACGGTTTAGAGAACTTCTACTTATAGTGAATATATACGGTTTAGAGAACTTCTACTTATAGTGAATATCTATGGTTTATAGAACTACTTTAAGTGAATATCTACGGTTTAGAGAACTTCTACTTATAGTGAAAATCTACAGTTTGAGAACTTCTATTTTTAGTGAATATCTACAGTTTGAGAACTTCTACTTATAGTGAATATCTACAGTTTAGAGAACTTCTACTTATAGTGAATATCTACGGTTTAGAGAACTTCTACTTATAGTGAATATCTATGGTTTAGAAAACTTCTACTTATAGTGAATATCTACAGTTTAAAGAACTTCTACTTATAGTGAATAACTATGGTTTAGAGAACTTCTACTTATAGTGAATATCTATGGTTAAGAGAACTTCTACTTATAGTGAATATCTACGGTTTAGAGAACTTCTACTTATAGTGAATATCTACGGTTTAGAAAACTTCTACTTATAGTGAATATCTACAGTTTAGAGAACCTCTACTTATAGTGAATATCTACAGTTTAGAGAACCTCTACTTATAGTGAATATCTATGGTTTACACTTTCACTCCCTCACTTCCTACCAAGCAAGATGACAGCTTAGTTGGTAGTTCCTTCTATTTCTGTCCAAATTCATTCAATCTTCACTGTGCACTCAGTTAACTAATTTTTCCAGTCTCCTCCAATGTATCATACAAGAAGAATCACAACATAATGTATAAACTCTGTAGCACCAGTAACTATCCAGACGTGTGAATATCAGAACATTTTGGTATATTTTATACAGATATTCACTGAATGTTGAATTAAGAATTAACATCACACCACTCAGGACACTCCCATAAGTGCTCAGTCCCCATCTTCAGCAGCAAGTGAAGAGTTCAAATTCCGATGGTACCAGTAACCGTCTGATTGTACATCTGTCTTATCTTTTCCCTGAGTGCTGAGCGTCGGCCAGATCCTCCTGGTAACTCCTCTGGTAACATATATTCACTAAAACTTAAAAATACTGAATCCTCATTACTTACGTATTGACCCATGCAGTAATGTTATAAATGTCATTAGCTTCAACCATGGAATGCGGAACATTGAGTTTTAAAGTGAAGTCCACAGCTTTGCCACTGCGAAGTGGGTTACCTATGTGGTCACAGACAATCAGAGTAGGGTCTTCTTTCAGCCACTGACAAGCAACTGAATCCTGAGAAGAAAATGGAAAATAGACCTGGTTACAACTGATGAGCAGCCTAACCATTTCTTTCTGCAATCTGTCGAAAAGGATCTCTCTTCTTTCTTTCAAGAAACCAACATAATTTCACTTAATATAATATGTGAAGGTACTTTCAAGATATTCATACAGAATGAAGCAAACATATTTCATGCACAATTTTCTTCCTTTGACAAAAGCAAATATAAGGAGATAAATCATATCATCTCTGTAAATTGTTATAGCACAACAATCCGTTAAAGCTCTATGAATACTAACAAATACTAAAAATACTAACACAACAGTTTCATGACCATGTAGTATGCTATTTGTAGAACCTCATTTTCATCACTGTCTGCCTGAAAGAAACTCAGTCTCTTGCCAGGTCTCCTACCTCGTGCACATTTTCGCATCAAGGTGTCATTTTAATCCTGTGCCCATCTTCGTTTTGGTTGGCCCCCCTCCCCATCATTGCTGGCACCATGCCTTCTGCTTTTATTTTTCCCCAATTCACCACAGCGCTTGATACCGTAAACATATTTCAGTTTCAAGGAAAAGATGCTTTTTATTAGCCTTGATGTTCAGATATTTCAGGATGTCGGTATTTCTTCTTCTTTGTCCATGGTATTCTGATAATCTTTCTATAGCATTTCAGCTCAAAAGCCTGTATTTTCTTCTTTAATTACTGCGGGATAGTCCACAACACACATTTGTATGTTGCTATAGGGTGGATGCATGTGCTTAAAATGTTGACTTTGATATCCTAAACCATAGACTTTTAATGTTGTTTTATCTTTACACTACTACAGTTATTCTCCTTTTTACTTCTGTTGAACAATGCCTAGATATTCAAAGTTTGTGACATTTTCAATTTCTACTTCATTTATAGTTTTTTTATTTCTTTCTGGATGAATATGACAACATAACTGTTGCTTTTTTACAGCTGAAACCCACCTGCGGTTCAGTGCCAAGATAGGTGAACACTTGAGGTTTGTTGATGTAGATTCTGGTGAGATAGGCAGGCTCTCCTTCATTGTGTACCCTCATGACAATATGCAGGTGATTCTGCTGACTAATGCTCATCTCATAGACACCTGATGCATTTCTGTTATGGAAAGACACAAATCATTCTAAAATATATGTCAGAAACAGTTGAAAACAGTAAAACTGTACAATAAAATATGATGGCAAACATTAGGAAGATTATTAAAATCTCCATGTGTGTTCCGGGGCCCTTTTATGGGTAAAACAAGAAAGGACCCACTGCCTACACAAAAGCCTGTCGTAAGAGTCGACTAACTGTTAGCTTCAGAATACATATGCCTGGAGGTAAGAAACCAACAGTCTGCACAGACCTGTGAAACAACTGTGCATGCAACACTCAGGTTCTGGAACAGGGCTAGAGTCCAGCAGTGGACTAACAACCAGAACTTTCACCCAGTTTACAGACGGTGAACATAAAGAAGAAGAAGTACCAGAAAGTTGTAACTGTTTTCCAAGGAAGGTAGTAATAACGGATTGAATGTCTCACCATGTGCCAGAACCAAGTTAGCTTGTGGCATTTCACCACTGTCAAGACAGGCCCTCCTGTACCGCAAATTTGTATATTTTGTCTCTGACATATTTATTAGTTTTGTGTTCTACATAACTAATTCGTAAAATGCATCTATAGCATTTACATTCGAAAGCCAGAATTCTAATTTCCATTTCCACTGTGAGAGTAAGAATATGGATAACATCCAGTTACACATGGTGCACTGCTTGGGACAAGAAGAGTTAAACAAGAATCTAAACTGAACATCCAAGGATTTGCACAAATGAACCAAATTAAATCTCCACGGCTTAGTGCTTGCCTACTGCTGTGGAGGTTGTGCGCTAATTTCACAGAATGTCGCTGGGTTCACGAGAGCATTTTTAATGGAGATTCATGTAAATTGTTTCTGGAGCTGCAGAGTTCATACTTTGTGTGATACTCCAAGCAGGTGACTAGCTGTTCTGTGAAATGAGACTGAACCACACTGGATATCATCTCCAAGGGCAATAAAGTTGATTCATGTGACACACACACATATATATATATATATATATATATATATATATATATATGATATATATATATATATATATATATATATATATATATATATATATATATATATAGATATATATATATATATATAATATATATATATATATAGTAATATATATATTTAAAAAAAAAAAATCGAAAAGCTCTTTCCATTTTTGTTCTTTTTTATAATCAAAACCATTTTCTTTAATTTAGCACCATTTATTAACAAGGAGCTGAAAGAGTTGAGAGGAAAACATTAACTTACTTCTTAAGGTCCTTAAGTTCAGCTGTGAACTGTAAATTACTGAAGCATTTGTTGTCATCACCACACTCCATAACAAACTCTGCCTGCAGGTGTGACAAAAAATGTATTAAACCTTTGTTTTTCATCCTTAATGGGGCAGGGAAAAGGAGGGGGGGGGGGGGGGGTAATACACACTTGGTAGGGTTTAAAAAAAATTTAATTTTCATAAAGTGGATTGAGCATTGAGCAAGAACATCTTCTTCTTCGCGTTCACCAGCTGTACACTCTGGCGGAAAGTTCTGGTTGATCGTCCACTACTGAACTGCAGTCCTGCTCCAGAACCTGAGTGTTGCGTGTGCATCAGTTTTACAGATCTCATTCTCTTGAATACAGACTGTTGGTTCCTTGCCTCTCCAGCAGATGCACTCCGACTTCAAAGGAAGCTTTCCAATTAGTTGACTCTTACGACATGCTTTTGGGGAGGCAGTGGGTCTATTCTTGTTTTCCGCACAATAGGGCCCCGGAACCCACACGAGGGTGAGCAAGAACTGACATTACAGCACTCAGGACATTCCCATAAATGCTCCAGCCCCATATTCAGCGGCCAGTGAAGAGTTTCAATTCTGATAATGCCCTAAACAGTCCGATTATTTGTCCATCCTGCCTTTTTTCTGAGTAAAACCAACCAGATCCCCTGGCCATTCCTAGCTGTACCATTCTCTTCAGACCATAATGATCTATTTATGCCTCCACACTGTCCAGCTGCTCCTAAAAGACTCTGACCACATCCAGCTCGTCATGCATAAATTTATTATCAAATTGATATGAAACTGATACTTTTCAATTCAGAAGTGACCAGCACCCTACTTCTGAGACAATATAAGACAGTAAAGTAAAATTAATGGACATTTTGTTTATGAAGTGTTTTGTATATATGCACAAGCCCCATAAATTTTAGAAACAAATCAGCATGTGATTGGTCATCCTGGATGAAGGTGTTTCAACATAAGACAATCAAGCTGATAAGATCAAAAATCGTGTACTAAGGAGGGTGTTTTAACATGACACCACAGAGCAGAAACAGAGAGACACACATACAGAGAGAGATACTCATAGAGAGAGAGAGAGAGAGAGGAGAGAGAGAGAGAGAGAGAGAGAGAGAGAGAGAGAGAGAGATAGACAGAGAGAGAGGCAGAGAGACTCACAGAGAGAGAGAGAGACAGGCAGAGAGACACACATACAGAGAGAGATACTCATAGAGAGAGAGAGAGAGAGAGAGAGAGAGAGAGAGAGAGAGAGAGAGAGAGAGAGAGAGAGATAGACAGAGAGAGAGGCAGAGAGACTCACAGAGAGAGAGAGAGAGAGAGAGAGAGAGAGAGGGCAGAGAGACACACATACAGAGAGAGATACTCATAGAGAGAGAGAGAAGAGACAGAGAGAGAGAGAAATAGACAGGTGCAGAAACAAGGAGAGGCTTATCTGCTTTTACTTATTCATATCTTGATGTGAGAAACAAACATGAAAATTAAAAAATAAGGAACAGAAATAATGTGAGGTACCATGTTTGTTAAAATCTTAAATGAAACAAAATATGATTTGAAAACTGTGGATCAAATCTACAGAATTGTTTTTTCAGAAAGTGACAATCAGCAATATTACCTTCAGAAGTGCAAGCTCAGTAACACACACTGGTGCAGCAGGGTTAAGGGTCAAGGTTTTGTTTTCTCCTGCACCGAAATCCTGCAGTTCTACTCTGGCCACTCTGCGAAGCGGTTCAGCTTCAAGTTGGTAAACTACATGAGGTATCACTTTGATGCTGTGCAACATATAAACAACACTGCTATTATTACAGCAAACACATCAGAAACATCAACAAGATTAGAAACTAAACAATATTATGGTGAAAGTTATTGCATTGTAGGATGCAGTGGGGCAAAATGAAATCAAAGGGATAAGGGGGAAAAAATTACTTATTTAAATACTAGCAAGCCTTAAATTGGTACCAGGTAAAGTCCTGGAAAGGTGGTGGCCAAGGTGATGTTCACCAACCAAATAACCCACCAAATACCCATTGGTCTATCAAGTATAGATCTAATACTACAAGCCCCACGCCTGAAGGTGCAAAAAAGGATCCTTTACTAACTTACATTTTTTTACTTTTAAATACTAGGATTTTTACTGCAAAGAGAAAATAGTTTATTCTATCATTTGACTGTCTATAAAACACAGGTTAATAATAAACATATACAAATTTCTCTAAACTATGTCAACTAAGTTCTAACTTATCTTACACTGTTATAACATTATTTTAGTATTTAAAGATGAAAGGGCTTTATTCCATATTACTTTGTCTTTCAGTTGTTTGCCCCTGAGAGTGTCGCAGCAAAATGAGACAGCAGCTGCAGCAAAGATCCTGCATGATCTCCACAATATCTGCTTTGCACACCAAAGTATGGAATCAGAAACTGAAACCACAACCTTCAGAGTGTGAGACGATAGTCTTAACCGCACACACAGATACACCCCCTCCCCTTTTCCCTTCCCTAATTCTCTATTTCATTATGAAACAAGAATAAATAACATATAAATTTACGTGAATCACATAAATTCTTTAGTGCAAGTAAGACAAAAGTGCATGAAATTTTTTTTTTAACCAACTTAATTTCAATTGCCACAGCCATTACCTTGATTAAAAGGCTAATAGAGGCTGTTGACAAACCACCAGTGGATTGATTTCTGAACTTATTTAGCTAACCATTACAATATACTGAGAAAAAGTCAAGGTGCAATGCCAATAGCAAGCAACAGATGTGACCATAAAACCCAGCAGTCTCGGTTTAAACTGCTACCAAGAAGCAAATGACGCAGCCATGAAACGCACTTACAACCTTTAAAGTGCAAGGCAAAACGGCTTAACCACTTCATCTCGCAGACCCCCCCCCCCCCCTCCCCTACCAAATCAATCAGTTACAAAGAACTAACAGTTGCAGAACCTACCTGTTGGCGGGCTTTGTGATGAATGACAAACACATTTTAACAGACACACAATGCCTGTTCTTAAACTCTGGCTTCACTGCAGAATCATTACATAATGGAGGTGACTCCACATCAATTGACTGTGGAAAGACACTCAGGCTTGGAATCAGTTTTATGATGGGTCTCGACCGGATAAGAGCAACAGCGTCGGACTCATAGGCTCCAACTAAAAGATCAGGGTATCCGTTTTCATCCAGGTCTATACCCCCTGACAGGGAATAGCCAAATGACACAAGGCCTGGCACCGGCAGATCTTTGGCTTCAATCCTCTGTGGAAAAAATTAAAAATAACATGTTACTGTTTATTTTCACTGTTGAACAAGGATCATTACAACATACTGTACATTGCGAATGTTTAACATGGATCATTAAAATATATTGTAACACTACTGGTGTTTAACATGGATCATTACAACATACTGTAACACTAAGAATGTTAAACATGGATTATTTCAACATATTGTAACACTAAGGATGTTAAACATGGATCATCACAACATACTGTAACACTAAGAATGTTAAACATAGATTTTTACATTTCCTTTTTCTTCAGCGTTTGCCCTTAAAAGGGCACTTTGCAAACTGTGTTGTGGTTTACAGCTAGGCTGCAATATCTGCACCTTTCTGCCAAACTCATATAATTTCAGCAAACTCCTAATGAGTGCAGGGGCTATGGTTTTAACCCCCCCCCCCCCCCCCCCCCACCCCAAAACATGGCCTCAGAATAGGGGGAGGACTAGAATACTGAAATATTAAATATTAAGGAAGCCGCGCCTGCCGTCCCTTGAGGGCCGATGAGGTTTCATGCCGTTGCGCTGGATGGGTAGACAGGGGGAAATAAAGAGAATACCATACAAATAAGGCCCACAAAACTATCGGGGAAGTTAATCTGGTCAACAAATGATTAATGAAATTGGATGTGTCGGCTGAAAGGCATTAATACTGCAGCTTTGTTGTAAACAGGCACAACACAATTACATCATTCAAAGGGAAAAAAATAAGAAGAAATAATAAGGAATAGAATATTAAAGCAAGACTTTAAACATACAAAAAATTGATTTAGGTGAAAAAGATGAGGACATGACGTGAGCTGCATCAGATAGCAAAGGAAATAAAGGCCTGGAACAAGATGGCTGACATGTGGATATAAATGATAACCAATGCTACATGGCATACCCCATCTATTTCTGGTATGACATATTGTCAAGGAATGTTTTCTGTGCTCTCACCACTTTTAAAGAAGCAAGTAGCACACACAACCCGAGGCCCTCCCTGCAAGCAATGGATACCCTTAAAATGTTGATCTGAATTTTAAATTGTCGATCATAAAGGCAACATTTCAAGTTTTTAGTATTTTGTTTTCTCTTTATTTGTTCTCCCTGAATTGTTCACAACCAAGAAGCACACAATTTGCCGCTGTTGGGTTTTCCCGTTTAAAGGCCCACTCAAGTTGCCATTCCTGTGTTTTTCCTTTCTTCAAGGCCAGCTGTCAGCCCTGACAAACAAAAACACATTTACAGACCATCTTACAATGCATACATCTACAAACAACTACAAGCCTGAACAACTACTACTACAAACCTGAACAACTACAACCCTGAACAACAAAACAGAACAACTACAACTGCAAACCTGAACAACTACAAACCTGAACAACTACAAACCTGAACAACTACAAACCTGAACAACTGCAAACCTGAACAACTACAACTACAACCCTGAACAACAAAACAGAACTACAAACCTGAACAACTACAAACCTGAACAACTGCAAACCTGAACAACTACAACTACAACCCTGAACAACAAAACAGAACTACAAACCTGAACTACAAACCTGAACAACTACAAACCTAAACAACTACAAACCTAAACAACTACAAACCTGAACAACTACAACCCTGAACAACAAAACAGAACAACTACAACTCCAAACCTGAACTACAAACCTGAACAACTACAACCCTGAACAACTACAAACCTGAACAACTACAAACCTGAACAACTACAAGCCTGAACAACTGCGAACCTGAACAACTACAACTACAAACCTGAAACAACTATAACT